AAGCCCAGGAGTCTCTGTTAGTTATTTACAGAGGACAGAGGGCTGGTCCTGTGCTGTCCGGAGTGCTGGGCTGGAGGCTGTGACCAGAAGGTGATGCTTTGGTGGAGTCACTGCTGCAGGGCCCAAGCCCTTCAGGTCTCTGCAGCAGTGGTGCTGATGCAGTGGTGGGGACAGAAAGCTCAGCTGGGGCAGTGTGGCAAGTGGAGGGAAACGGCTTCCACCTGCAGGTGCTGTTGTCACTCCACAGGAAGATAACAGCAAGGGAGACTGTGTGAAGATGAGGGCAGGTGTCCAAAGGGGGGAGGGCATCCTCTTGGGATTTGTACGTGATCTTTATATTTTCATTGTTCCTCTTATATATGCTTTTGGTAGGAAACATCTGTCTCCTGCTCCAAAATACAGTGGTCACCTGAATTTGAATTTTGGAGTTCTAGGTATTTGCTACATTGAATGCCATATATATGCCTGGTGCCTGTGGAGGCCAGAAGAGGGTGTCTGATCCCCTGGAACTGGAGTTACACAAGGTTGTGAGGTGCCACATGTGTGCTGAGAATTGTACCCAGGTTCTTTGCAAGAGCAGTCAGTGCTCTTAACCATTGAGCTACCTCTCCAGCTCCCTAAACTTGGTGTTTCCAAATTTTAACTGCAAGTAGACATTATAATTTATTAGAGGCAAATGAAGGAGTGACAAGATAACAATGTCAGGAAGAAACCATAACACATTTACATTGGGACTGAAAAGGCTTTGCCTTGTTCTTTTCCTGGCAAGCTGCTGTCTGCTGTTGAGTGTAACGTATCTCCCCTTCCCCTTAGTTACTGGGAACCCCACATCCCCAGCCACTGCAGTAGTGGGGCTGCACTCTTGACTACATTGAGCAACTCACTAGTGTAATAATGCCATCTGCTCCCTCTATGGCGCTTGCTGTTTGCTGTCTCTTTCCCCCTTCTAGCTTCTGCTCCTTTTACATGGCTCCGTGTTGTGCTTCTTCCCCTCGTGACTGTGGCCTCTCATGTCCTCCTCTTGTCTCTAGTCCCCAGTTCCCACACTCTTCCCATTGCAGTTCACCTTGATCTGGCTCCTACCCTCTGGATGCTGACAAACAAGAGAGAGGTCCTTGCCATTTGCACAGACCAGTTGCCAGTTCTGGGGGTGGAGGGTGGTTCCTCTTAGCTCTGCCACTCAGTGGCCCTGAGGACAAGCTAGGCAGTCTGGCCCCCACTTTCTCCTCTGTAGTTGATATCAGAGTGGCAGTTGCCCTCTGCCATGCTTGTGAGGATGACATAGAGTAATGCATGGGGAGTATGAAGAGCAGCTTGGCATGGTATGGTATGCAGGCAGGTTTGCAGCTTCCACCTGACTCTCAATGGCTGACACCCTTACTTATCAGATGACTCTGAGAGTCCAGCCTTAGACTTCATCCCTTTGTACTTACTGCTGCACAATGCCTATAGCTCATTTCAGTCATGTGATCTGAAGACCTGGGGCCTTGATTACTGCTGCATCTCCAGCACCAAGAAGCACGTGCAGAGCTCGCCTCTTGAGGGAGTGTGTAGACACCTTTACACATCTCTGTTCCTTATTCGTCTCTTTCTGCTTCGCTCTCATCCTTGCTTGACGTATGTTGAGTGGTTCTCGCAGTGAAGGTCCCTCTTGGTGCTAAGTGAATCTGAGAACATCTGTCTCTTCCTGTTGCTCTTAAATGGTAGTTCTATGCAGAATCCCAGGCTGGTGTTTATTCATTCTGCTCTGATGACTAACTAGCTCTCTGTGTTTGAAAAGCTGCGTGCTAGTACAGTGTGAGTCTCTGTCTGACCATCAGGGCTGAGGGCAGTGGTGCTGGGGAGCCCCACTAAAGCCTCTCTTTAAAGTGGCCTCGTGAGTTTGTTGCTTGCACAGCCTGGAAGCTGTCACAGAGCCCCCACAGTGAAGCATGGCATTGTGCAGTGATGCAGCAATGGACAAAGGCATACAGAACAGAATCAAGGGTGTCCTTTGGGACATTGACAGGGTCTGTTACACATGTAATACTCAGCTGCAGTGAGGTGGGACCGAAGACATGGGGAGGGCATGCATACTTCCCACAAGACGTGGGACATGCCACAAATGCCACCTACAGCTTGTTGAGCACTTCATTTAGGGCCTCTGTGAGCCCTAAATGGCAGGAGAAGCTGGGGGGCAGCCCTTGGAAGGCAACCTTGGAAGGAATCTTATGACATAGCTTACCAAACCAGATGTGTGTACAAAGTGGAGTATGGGAAGACTTCTGAGCAGCTGCTAAATAGCAAGTCAGGACTGTCTCGGGGCAAGTCCAGCATCTGCAGAGAGCCTGCATGCTGCTGGAAGGGCTGGCCTTGCTGAAGGTGAGCAGAGCCCTCATGCTGGAGTAGAGTCTAAAAAGCTGGACCACAGCAACACTCATAAATAGCACCACAGCTGCTAACAATAGGAGAAACTCTGTGTGTGCTGGGTGGAGAGATAGTCTCCATTTATTTTTGCTGATGCCCTTGACTGATGCAGGAAACACATTTCTGCATGCACAAATCCATAAATACACAGGGCAGAACTGTACTTGACCACTGTATTTCTCTTCCTCAAAACAGAAAATGTAAGAAAAATAGGCCTGCCCCAGCCCAAACAACAACAGAAGGATTGCATTGAGACACTGAAAGGCTTGAGCTTTTATTTTATTTTCTGTGCTAGATGCTGGGCAAGCGGTCTCTTAGTGAGCTAGGTCCTCAGCTCTGCAGTATTCTAAACAGCCATTTGTCATTATTAGTTCTTCTACACCAGTCTCTTCACCGTTTTATTTCATTAATGAATGCTTAAGTGACTAAGACTGTGATAAAATTTTAATTTCTGAAGTGTCTTCTGTTCATTTTGCTGTGAATTCTTTCCCAGTTGTCCCAGTTGTTTTCCATGGACCCCTGTCACACTGTTGTTTGCTTATCTCCATTCTCCTGGGGCCAGCAGTGTCACTAGCTGTATGCTAAACATGGCTGTCCAGTAACTCTGGAACTGGGCTACACTCTGAGGATGAAGATGTCAGTGTGGGTAGCCAGATAGACAGCTGAGTGGTTCTCAGCAGCCATTTTCTTCTCAGCAGATCCCCACAATATGAAGATGCTCTATGCAGTGGTTCCTTTTCTCCCGGCTGCAACAAAACCCTAACGAGGAAAGGCTTATTTTGACTCAGGTTTCTGGGGACCTCACTTCATCATGAAAGTAAAGGCCTGGCGCGGGAAGAATGCAGGTAGGTAGAAGTGTAAGGCAGCTATTTCCTTGGTGGATCAAGAAGCAGAGATGGCACAGAGCTAGACACTGCCCCCATCAACCCACTGCATCAGCCAGGCCTTCCTTCTTAAAGGACCAGAACCTTCCAAAGCTGAACCACCAACCAGAGACCGAGCAAGTCCGGGCTTTGTACGTTAGACCCTAGCACCATAGTGATCCCCTCACAGCACTTCATCAGTTTCTCCCAGTGTATGGATCCTCAGCCATTGTCCTGTCTTGTCAAATTGGCTATTATTGTGCTACCGTCTGTCACACCAGGAAGGAAACTCCCTGGTTAAAAATCCCAAGACTGCAGGGTACATTGTTGACGGGGAGGTGGGAAGAATGTAAGAGTGGAAAGAGGGGCAGGGCACGGCGGAATGCTCACTTCCAGGCATGGCGTGGCTTGTGCTCTTGAACTCATAGCAGCTGTGATTTCATGCACAAGATGTTCACATGATTGACCCTTCGGCACCCTGTCGTGGAAGGGGGATGCTCACGGGGCCCTGCTCTTCCGAGTTAATGTGGGAAGGAGAGGCCTTTTCATTAGTGTAGCCCTTGGTCAGGTGCATGTCCTCCTGTGACCAGGCCTAATGAAATTCTTTTATTCACACACACACACACACACACACACACACACACACACACACACACACACAGAGCGAGCGAGAGAGAGAGAGAGAGAGAGAGAGAGAGAGAGAGAGAGAGAGAGGGTGCTTGTGTGCATGCGCACATAGGTGGTGGGAGGGAGGGAGGGAGGAGAGGAACTAGTTTGGAAGAGAAAAGGGGTTGGTAGAGTGGGTGGAGAGCAAGAGGGTAATTGATGAGGGGTGAGTGTGATTAAAGTACTTTGTGTACATGTGTGAAAATGTCATAATGAAATCCGTTAGTATGTATAATTAACATATGCTAATGAAAACATTAGGGAAAGGGGGAGAGAACTAAAATACACACACAGCTCATGAGCCAAGAGTTGGGGCAATAAATGTGGTAATGATGGGAAAAAGCAGTTGCACACAGGTATCTGCACTGCCACAGATGTCAGTGTAGCCATGATTGGGGAGAACTGTAGGGAAGCAGAGGGAGGGATGGCTTGAGAAAGGAGATGGAAGACACGAGGTAGAGTTCCCACCCAGAGGGATGCTGTGCTGTGCTGAGAGCCTGAGGCTCAGTGTTGGCCAGTGGAAGCTGCTGTACCGACAAAACACGCTGCAGTTCGACCGTGGATCCATTGGAATTACTAGCCACACCCAGAGTCCTAGAGTAACTGTTGGCACCCACAAGCCATGGACATAAATGCATTGTTTATAAAACTGTGTCAGTTCGCATCCTATCACTGCTCAGTTGCTTTGTGAAATGCTGACTTTTCCAGCATAAGTGGAAAAAGTCATCTTGGTTGTAAAAAGGAAAGATTTAAACTATGCAAATAGTTGTGGTTCTTAAATCCTGTCCTTTAATGAAAAGGTCTTAATTTGTCAAAGTTAACTATTCTTGATTTAAGGCAGTCAACAGAGTTCAGCTGCTAAGTTTGACAGGCAGATGCAGGCTGTGTTGCCCTCTGTTGGTGATTAATAGTTACTTTTGGCAGAGTGATTGCTCTGTATGTGTTGCCTATATTTAATCATTTTTTCAACCACTATCATTAGGGAAGACTGACAGCTTCTTGAGTAAGATGGTGTTCCATACTTGTCCTTGATCAGTGTTTGTTTTACTGTCTGTCTTTTGTCAGAGCTCCACCTCAGATCAGGCGTCCCAACCGAGAAGTGAGACCTCTGAGGAAAGACATGGGAGCAGGAGCCCGAGGACTCGTGGGCCGAGCACACCCAATTTCGAAGAGTGACAAACCTGCAAGTAGGGACAAGGACTATAGAGCAAGAGGGAGAGATGACAAGGCAAGACTCTGTAATTCATTCACTTGCAGCCCAGGGCATTGGTGGGTATTGTAATTGGTGTTGACTTTTCAGTGTTCCTTAGAGTTCTTTATATTTCACAGGCCAGGTGAAGTAATAAATGCACACCATACACACAGAAAGATTTATAGATGTGTTTAGTAAAGTAAATGCACACACACTTATACAGGCAAACTCACGCAGGTGTGTGTGCGCACACACACATACTCACACACACAGTTATAGAGGTATTTAGTAAAGTGTAGTTGGACTTTCTTTGGACCATCAGTTCCCAAATAAATACATGGAGACTTCTTGTTAATTATAAATGCTCGGCCTTAGTTTAGGCTTGTTCCCAACTGCACTTATAACTGAAATAACTCCTATCAACCTATGTTCTGTCACATGGTTTGTTACCTCTTATCCATTGTGTACATCTGATTCCAAGCCTCACTGGCTTAATCTGATCACCTCAGATTCTTCCTCTTTTCCCTGGAAATCTCGCCTATTCTGTCCTGCCTAGCTATTGGCCATTCTGCTCTTTATTAAACCAATTAGAAGGTGCCTTAGGCAGAGACACATCTTCATAGTGGTAAAGTAACGAGCATACAGGTACAGAGGTATTGAGTAAATGCACACACACAGAGGCACACACACACACACACACACAGACACACACACACACACACACACACACACACACACACACACACGAGGCATAGATGCATGAGTTTTGCAGCAGCACTGCACAAAAGAAAGGAAGACTAGAAGTAATTCTGGCTGGGGGTTATAGGGAGGTTCTGGCCACCATTCATGAATAATTCATGGGACAGCCTACAACCCTTTTCAGAGTAAGAAACTAAGGTATAGAGAGCTCTAGTCCTCTCAGAGACCCACCCACCCCCCCCATAACAATCTGGATTTGATTTGAGGAAAGAAATCCAAAACTGAATAAATTCTGGTTTTAAGTGTGATTCTGAAACTGAGGACAAGGCAGCAGTTGCTGAATGTCAAACATGTTCCCCTGGAGGTTATAAGTGGCTTTTCATTTGCAGTGCTTCTGAATAACTGTCTGAGTCTTACTCTGTCATTGACATGCTAAGTACTCAGACTATCACTAGAAAATCAGTCTTTCTTATTTCTGTGGTTGTTGAGGAGGTAGAAGAGATATGAGTCACCGCAGAAACAAAAGGAACTACTACTAAGAAAACAAACATGGAAGTGTCTCAGTAGCTTGAAAGGTATAGTTGTCTCTGATCTGATTATCTTAGCCATTCAAAATTTAGTAGAGACTAGTTCCCTAGACTAAGGTGATTTGAAAATGAAGATGGAAGGATCAGTATGAGTATTATAAACTCCTTTTTAAAACATTTGGTTGGTGGGTTGCAATAGGCTTGAAAAAATAAAGTAGTCCTGTAAGGATTAAGGTTTTTCCGCCTGCTGCTGGTTTTGCTCCGCTGCCGCACCAGCCCCAAATAACACACCGACACTCTGTATCAGATATAATGCTGTTGGCCAGGTACTAGTTTCTTATCTGTATTAATCCATTTCTATTTATCTAGTATTTCCACGTAGTCTTATTATCGGGGAGAGCAGCTGGTGGTTCTGCTCTCTCTAGACTCTCCATCTTGACTCCTCCTTACTACTTCCTCTTTCCTCCTTGTCTCCTAGTCCCTCCTATCTTCCTTTCCTATTGGCCAACAGTGCTTTATTCATTAACCAGTATGAGAAACATATATACAGAATGACATCTCCCATCATAGTCCAGAAACATCAGACTATATTGCCCATGATGAAAATAGTAATTATCTTGAAAATATTTAGTTAAGTAAGTATATAAACATTTAGTTATAGGAGCTCCTACTTGGTAAGTAGTTTGGCCTGATGGCCTGATGAGGTATTCTATGACAAAGCTGTGGACAGCTCACTTGTAATGAGTAGGTAAAGGGCCCAGAGTTTATCTGCTTTTTAGTCCTTTGTATTGGTTTCTACCTGTATCTCCATTAATATCACAGTTTTAGGCTCAGTGTGGTGGCTTATGCCTTTAATCCAGTACTTGGTAGGCAGAGGCAGGCAGATCTCTATGAGTTGAAGGCCAGCCTCGTCTACATGGTAAATTGAGACCCTGGCACAAAAATAAACAAAACAAAATTAGTGATACACACATGTGCTTGTGTATTCTCATAATCTAGTAGATTTATTACTTTGTGCATAGGATTTTGAAAACCTTCTATATTCCAGACACTTAGCTTCATAGGTATAAAAATGAGGAATTTATTTTGGGCCCATGAAATGGCTCAGCAGGGAAAGGAATTTATAATACAGTCTTGTCAAGGATTGTTAGTGTCTTTGCCTATTAGCTTTGTGTGTAGGGTGGAGTGATAGGACAGCACATAGCAGCAGTAGAAACAGTGCTGTCCCTGAGTGCCATGAACTTTGTTGATGCCTCCGATACTTTTGAAGCTGTGTGCTGGTCTATTCGATCCCAGCTACAGTCATAGCCCTGCCTCCTGTTTGCATGTGAATATCACATGTGAATATATGTGGAACTAGGCTTCAGAGGGTCATGACTGTATACCTGAGTTCTAAATTGTGAGCAGTGTCAAAGTGTTTCTTTCTTTCTTTTTTAATTCCTGTCATAAGAAAACACTTTTTATAAACAAAAATTCTGGTAAATTTCGTGAGAGATTACATCTCTATCCACTTCCTTTTAAACTTCTGCTAGGCATCAGACTATGTCTAAGCTCAAAGTGCTGTTTTTAAAATAGGTACCAGTCATTTTGCATAATGATTTGTTGTTGAGGCCATGTTTCTTTTTAATGCCAAGGGCGGTGTGTGACTTAAAATTTATTTAGTACATTTGGACTAGGTATGTGCTTTATGTTAGTCATAAATATAAACTAGTAAAGTATACCTGGCTATAATGCCAACACTCAGTAGGCTCAGACTGGATGGTCATGATTGGTGACATCGGTCTACATAGTGAGAATGTCTTAAAAAGACCCCTTGACTGACATCTGGCTATTTCTCCTTGCTGACAAGAGTGACAGGGACAGCTAAGCCATACTGTTGGCATTACTTGAATGTACCAAGTGTCTTGGTCTGCTTGGAATACTATCCTAACATGCAAGGTCGTTTTATAAACATGAAACCTCAGGCAGGGTCTGGTGAAGACATCTACAAGGCCACACCTCTTAATGGCTAGGCATTGGGTCCTGAGTTTTAATATGACATTGGAGGAGCCCATGTGTTCAGACTATAGCTAATGGAAAATTGAATTAACTCTTTTGTCATTTAAGTTTAGAGTTAATATAGAAGTATGCTGAGAAATGTAAGTTGTCCTACATTAACTTGAATTCTATTTGAAAGAATATGTATCTTTAATCACAAGATAAAGGAACACTGGTTATTTTCACCAAGAGTTAATTGACTGTGAGTTATAATCTTAACAATACTTTAGGATCAGAGAGTTGCGTAGAAATAACAAATGCTGCTTCTTTTTTTTTTAATTTTGTGTCTTCTTTTTTTTTTAATTTAGAAAGAATATACTGAAAGTAAATATGAACAAGTAGAAGGAGTGTTTTTATATTATAATAAAAGTAAGTTTAATTCAGAAAATGCCGGTTCTCAAATGTGTTAGTCTAGCTGTGTTGGCTTAACTAATTTGTGGTTAATGAGCAGTGTCCTGCAGGATCACATTTTTCTGGCTACATGTGATTCTCAATAGAGGGCAAGTTACACTCGCTGAACTCACTGCCCAGTTATTGAGCCTGAAGTGGTTTGTCTCATTACATCGTATATAGCAGAGGGCCATGGCGAGTGCTTTTCTTCTAGTGGTTATCTTCGAGACACAGGAATGAAGAGGTGTGGGAAACAAGACTGGAATATTCTGTTGATTCCTGCTGACTGCTGACTGCACAACTGAACAGCAACTTAAGAGAGTGCATAAGTCATAATTGAGTTATTTTACGAATAATCATGTTATGTGGATGCTGATGTGTGTGTAAGAATGACTTTTCCAGAAAAATATATGTTCACATATAATTTATGCATATATATACATTCACATGTGAGTTTGTTACAGATATGATCAACATATGGATATGCAGTTTTGTGCCCATAACTTAGAATAACAATTGTCCACTATTTCTAATGGACTTCATAGAATGCTTTCTCTGATTCGGGCCCATTCTCATTATCTCTGTCTGATTTGTGATTGCATTGATGGAGGAATGCAGTATCGATATGAGTGCTGGTTGATAGTTAGCTTTCATTAGTAAGACAGTAGTATAGCCATGAAGAATAAAGCATTTTGGAATTTTACTCATTCACCCATGATTTGTGCAACATTGACAGGATAATTTTAAAATACTGTAAAAATACTCATTTTTTGTTGTTTTTTGTAATGTAAAAACTACAGAAATGGTATGTGTGTATGTGTGCATGTGTGTGTGTATGGTGTATGCATATATGTATGTGTGTTTATCTAGGTGTGTGTGCCTATGCATGTGAACACCAGTTCATATGTGTGTGGAGGTCAGAGGTTGACACCAGGTGTCTCTATCATTCTCTACATTATCTTTTGAAAGAGGGTTGTGTGGAAGATTACTTTAACTATGTAAAGATATGTTACATTAGGTTGTGCTGCATTTGTTTAATAATGTAAAGATGTGCTGGGTGTTGGTGGCACATGCTTTAAATCCCAGTGCTTGGGAAGCAGAGGCAGGCAGATCTTTGTGAGTTTGAGGCCATCCTGGTTTACAGAGTGAGTGTCAGGACAGCTAGAGCTGTTAAACAGAGAAACCCTGTCTTGAAACCCACCCCCACAAAAAAAAAAAAAAAGAGAGAGAAAAGAAAAAAAAGTAAAGATGTGCTGCCTTGCCTGCCTAAGGCACTTGATTGGTCTAATAAGTAGCTGAACAGCCAATAGCTAGGCAGTAGAGGGATAGTCAGGGATGGCAGGCAGAGAATAAATAGGAGGGGGAATCTAGGAACGAGAATAA